CCAATTATAAAGTGGTGTTCTAGGATTTAATTATAATACAAAATAAAATACAGAAAAATTATTCTTTATTAGACCATGTTGTAAAATTTTTTATGAAATTTCGGACTAAAATGCAATTAACCTAAGACTTAGGGCTCCAAGTGTAATTATAAAAAATTAGGGTCTCTACATGTTAGCTACACGCGCATATTACCAAAAAAGATGAACGATGAATTGATACAGCTAATAATGTATATTATGAATGTATAATATATATTATAATGATAATATATAATAAACCTTAATCCTTAAGGTTGTGTTTGGTTGGAGGATTTAATAAGAGAAATGGAAATGTAAAAAGAAATGTGTTTCCGCTTTTTGTTAGGTTATAATAAAAAAATACAAGGGAAAAGAAAGTGAGAGGAAAATGCAATCCCACATCTTTTCTTTTGGATTTACTTAGACTCTTTTCTTTCTTTATTTGTCAACTCATTCAAATATAGTTTGGAATTCAAATCCTACCAATTCTTTCTCCTTTTCTTTTTATTTCCCTTTCTCTCTCTCTTCCCATTTCCCTCATCAAGTTCTTCAACCGAGCACATCCTAAGTATCTATAATATATTATATTAGAAAATTCTTGTGCCATATCTTGCTCAGAAGCTTACTATCTTCATTAGTCAATTCGGTTGTATCTTTTGGGAGTTGGATAATCTTTTTTATATCAATCCTTTTTCCATTACTTCTTGGTAAACTCTACAGCCACCTCTTCAGATGACTTCAAGAATTGCTAGTCCATTTTCTTTCTCCAAAAATGCCAAGTACTCCGCTTTCTTTTTATTTATTTATTAAAATTCTTCAAATCGGGGGACCCGAGTTCTTCTCTCTGTCCCTAATCCAAACAAGCAGGATCTTGAATAGGACCGAAAAGACTAGCCTAGAGACACTCCTCTCCAGTGCTTCAACTAGGAATTCAAGGACCCGACTACTTTCCTCCTGCTTTTCTTATGATTATGTGTTGCTACTGCTATGTTAGCTACAGGTGTTTGTTTCCAAGTAAAAGGAAAAATGAATTGATATAGCTAATAATATATATTATATATAATAACAAACCTCAAACCTCAAATATATATAATATATATTAAACTATTGCTACTGCTATGTTAGCTATATGTGTTTGTTTCCAATCAAGAGGAAGGATAAACTGATAATACTAATAATATATATATATATATATAATAACAAATCCTAAACCGTAAATATATGTAATATATATTATATTAGAAGGTTTCTGTGTTGTATCTGACTCATGATCTGAATCTCCGATTTGATTTGCCTCATCTTCTTTTTCAAAAGTTTACTATCTTCATTGGTTAATTCTACTGCTTTTTTTTGGGGTTGAATAATCTTCTTTATAGCTATCATATTTCCATCCCACCATAATTATGTATAAACCATACAAAATAAGGATTGTACATAATTGAAAAACTTGACTAGCATGCCAATATCAATCGATCCATCCAATTGTAATGGTCAATAACCTACTAGAATGAAGGCAACATAGTTGTACCATATGTAAGCAAACCAACGATAAGCAAACCAACGATCAACATATAGGTATCGATCAAGTCATGTAGCACCAATATGTAGAGATTATAACTTTCTTTTTTTTTTTTTTTTTAAAGAATTATAAACATACCATAAATATCATAAAATATTGTTTACATACTTCGCCAGCTTATGAGCCGACTTAACTACCTGTCTGTTCACTTTAGAAATACATAGAAAATCAAAATATTGTATACACCTGCACAACTTGATTATGAGACAAATTATTAACAATTCAACAACTGTTAGTGTCTTCAATAGGTATAGTAATATTAGTGGATGGTGCTTGCTCTATTGTGTTTAGGCTTCGAATCAATTATCTATGCACTTCATTTGCTAGAAAAATGGATTGGCCAATAGACAAGATCTACAATCTAGCTCAAAAGAAGCTCTTGACACGATCTACAATCTATCTCAAAGGATCAAGGTGAAAGGATACCTTCAGGTGAGTAGATCTAAGGATCTAAGTGGGAAAAAGTTATAGTTTAGAGAGAGAAAAGAGGAATCACGATTTGAGAGGAAAAGGAAAAGGAAAAAATAAGAGGAAAGTGTTTTGGAACCTATTTATGGTGGCTAGGTATTAATAGAATAATAGCTCTATAGTCAAATGAAAAGAATAAGTCAAAAATCTCCAAAAAATAAGGCCTGAGCAGAATGAAAATCTGAAAAAGACTCATAGGGGTTGACACTTGAGACAATGGTGTCAACCCCAAGAAGAAAATGCTGAAACACAAATGTTGATTGCTGACAAGAGTCAACCTTAGAAAACTGTGGTGTCTACCTTATTTTTCAGTAGACGACCCAGAACAAAACAACAAAGGAAGAGTCGACCCTAGGAACCCATGATGTCGACCCTATTTTCAGTGGCAATTTCCAAGATTGAGCAGCAAGATATTGTCAACACCACCCAGATTGGTGTCGACCCCAAAGGCTAACAACAGGACAAGTGTCGACACCACCAAGACTGGTGTTGACCCCAGATTTTGGTAGTCACACCAAGAACACAACAACAAGGTGGTGTCAACACCACCAAGACTGGTGTTGAACTTAGGAGTATAACAAAACAAAGAAAAGAAGGCAGTGTCGACACCACCAAGGATAGTGTCAACCCTCGAAGCCAAAACCCAACAAGAAGAGAGGGAAGGACAATCGCTATGGATATGGTTTCTCGGATTCAAAAGCAATAAATGGGTTAGGTCCAAGCCCGGGTTGCTATAGTCAATGGACTGGATAATAATATCCTTGTCTTTAGTTTCCCTAATCTAATTCACCCACCATTCTTTAAAGCTCACCAAATTTCCATAGGTAAAGTCTAATCGTAATGAAGTGCCTTTCCAAATCCTTTGTGAAACATGACATTGAAAAAACAAATTCTCCAAAGTTTCCTCATCCTCATTACATTGTGCATACACCAAATCAACATGAATTCCTCTCTTTCTAAGTTGCCATCTTACAAGGATAATGTTGTAGAGACACTTCCAAATAAATACACTCCATTTAGGTGGAATCTTAATTCTCCAAAACCGCTTTCTTATTGGAAAAACTTGCTCCTCTCTATAAAGATCATTATGTTGGACATGACTAATTGCACAAAAGTACCCTTACTTAACAAAATATTCGTCACTTTTAGTCTTACTCCAAATTAGCTTATCCGAACATGGTTATATAGGTATATGGATTCCCAGAATGGGTTTATGTAGTTTGCAGGAAAGAACCACCTAGTTAAATTTTGCCTTCAACAATGATTCTGATTATCTTTAAAATGTGAAACATTCAATGAGGCAAAATAATTTGATAGCCATGTTCCCCTTAGCAAATGATTCCTTCGAGATATCTATTGATCCTCGAAAGGATAATGAATTTACTGTCACCCACCATCCAATGAATGCCCTTTTTCATTAAGTCTCAATCCAATAAAATACTCCTCCAACCCTACGAAGCCATCCTAGGTTGTTTAACATCCATGAAGGACTTGGTGAAACAATAATTGCCCAGGAGCACTTTTGCTAGTAGTGACTGTGGATTTGAGATCAGTTTCCATGCTTGCTGGGTGAGCAATACTTGGTTAAAACAACTCAAATCTCTAAGTCCTAATCCACTACAACCTTTTAGTGTACAAACACTACCCAATTTCTTTCAACAAATACCACCCCCTTATTTGAGTACCATAGAAAACTATGAATTACAATTGTTATATGTTTCAAAAAAGCTTGTGGTACTTTAAAAATAGAGAGAATATACATATGGATGGACTATAAAATATGTTTTACCATGACACACCTCCTAGCAAAATTTAAAATGCAACACTTCCATCCATGAAATTTATTCTTAATTTTATACACCAAGTACTTAAACACATCCCTCCTTGATTGGTCTAAAAAATCCAAAATTGCCTCTAGATAAACACCTGGCCAGGATACCAGTTTGGAGTGGAAGACACTAATCTTTGGTGACCTAGACTCATCTTAGAAATTAAAAATAATTCAGACTTCTTCAAATTAATTCTCAACTCCATTTGTGCACAAATGTCATTTAAAAACCATTGGAGGCTTCAAGCTTCCTTTGCCTTAAAATGCATGAAGATGAAACAATCATCTGTGAACAAAAGATGTGAGATGGGTAGCGAATTCCTACTAACAGAAACCCCCATACAGATGCCTTGGTTATTTAAATAATCAAACCCCTTTGAATCTCCCTGCCTAAGCCCTGCTTTTGGAAGGAAAAATTTAGAAGGTTATTGATTAACCAACATTGTGACAACAATTGAACCCATTTCTCAAAAAAACCTATCATGCGCAGTATATTCACCAAGAAAGTCCAACTCACTCGATCATGGGCCTTATTCATTATCTAATGTTATCCAAAATAGGTCTTTTTACCCCTCTGCTTATGTCTAATAAATTCACTAATTTCATAGGCCGACATTGTATTATCTTAAATGTGCCAACCCATAAAAAAAACATTTTGATTGGGTGAAATTAAAGTAGGAAGTACCAGTATGGGACTAGATATTATGTGATCATTAGAGAATCATGACTTACGCCTAAATATTTTGTGAATTAATACATCAAAAAAAAGTCAATATAATTATATTAAAAATTTATATATATATATTTAAAAAAAAATATATATGCTGTTGTAGAAAAATAAAAAATTAATATTTTACTAGCAACATGGGTTTCGAATTTGCCGTGCTGTTTCATAGTTAGAATGTCTGTACTGTTTATCATATAATAATAGTACTATTGCAATAAAATAATGGTTAGCTCTATTGACAGGGAAATAGTACCTATTACCAGACTAGTATACAAGTCTACAATACAAACAAACAGTTGTACTTGCTTTGCCAAAAATAAGAATCTCTCTGGCAATAGTAGAAGGCTAAAATAATTAAAATCATAAACAACATCGAGATATTTATAAGCAGAACAAGAAGGTTACTGTGGGACAGTAGAAACGTAAGAGAAAGGCCTAGAAAGTGACGGAAAATCTTCCAGATACTTTTCTCGGGCAAGAAAACGGGGGATTGTCTTCGGACCAGTTCTCGGACTCAACAAATTAACAATTCTTGCCTCGCTTGATTTTGTTTGGCTCCATTTTACTGCACCGTGAGTCTTCATCGCAGTCAAGTTTTGATTTTTTTTTTTATTTAATTTATGACATTTGTTTGTCTTTTGATTTGCATTGTGTTTCTCTTTCTGATTTGATCGTGAAACCCAAATTGGGTATGTGTATATCGAACTAGTAAATTTTATAGGATTACATTTGTAGTGACTGAAATGAGTGATAGATTCATTGATTACAGACCATTTCCATTTCCAGCTGTTCACTCAATTGCGTTTTGCTATCTAAATCAGGGGGGTTTATTAGTTTCAATTTTTGTTTGTGGGTATTTTTATTGATTGTTAGACATTAATCTGAATGCAAACCTTCCACACACATTCTTTTAATCTTCCCAGATATCAACTTTGTTTTTGGTTTTCATCAACTCTTTTTTTTTTGGTCACAATTTTCATCAACTATTTAAGAGACCCATTTGATTCTGAAATATAATTCCCAATGATGCTTTTCATTCCATATTTTGGGTTCAAATTTAATGGGATAGAACTTACTGGGTATCTTTTATTTTAGTCTTTGATAAGATGGGTTTGTTATTTATTTATTTATTTTTCCTTTTAGGGTTTATTGAAACTATGAATGCAAAACCCAAGAGGAGAACAGAGAATGGGGATGCTGGTGAGGACCTGGTTCTTGCAACTTTGACTGGGAATGGTGAGGATTTGGGTACTATGGTCAAGCATGCTTTTGAGTTGGGCAAGTCTGAAGCACTTCTTCAGCAACTTAAGATTGTGGTCAAGAAGAAGGAAGTTGAGATTGAGGAGCTCTGTAAGCTACACTATGACGAATTTATTTTTGCTGTTGATGAGCTCCGCGGTGTCCTAGTTGATGCTGAAGAGCTAAAAAGTGAGCTTGGAAGTGATAATTTTAGGTTGCAAGAGGTTGGGAATGCTCTTCTTCTCAAACTTGATGAACTCCTGGAGTCTTACTCGATCAAGAAGAATGTTACTGAAGCCACTAAAATGTCGAGCAATTGCGTTCTAGTGTTGGATCTATGTGTGAAGTGTAACAATCACATTTCTGAAGGGCGGTTTTACCCTGCTCTGAAAACCATTGATCTGATTGAGAAAGTTTATCTGCAGAATATTCCTGTTAAGGCGCTCAGGATGCTTATTGAGGAGAGAATACCAATAATAAAATCACATATTGAGAAGAAGGTCATTAGTCAAGTTAATGAATGGTTAGTTCTCATTCGGAGCACTGCAAAAGATATTGGACAAACAGCAATAGGATATGCTACATTGGAGCGTCAGAGGGATGAGGACATGCTAGCTCGTCAGAGGAAAGCTGAGGAACAGAGTTATTCAGGGTCTGAAGATTTTACATATACTTTAGATGTTGAAGAAATTAATGAAGATTTTGGTCTGAAGTTTGACCTTACGCCTGTTTACCGGGCATATCACATTCACACTTGCCTAGGAATCCCAGAGCAGTTTCGTGATTATTATTACAAGAATCGGTTGTTGCAGCTAAATTCAGACTTGCAAATATCTTCTGCACAACCATTTCTTGAATCCCATCAGACTTTTTTAGCTCAAATTGCAGGGCATTTTATAGTGGAGGATAGAGTCTTAAGGACTGGTGGTGGGCTATTGTTGGCTAATCAGGTTGAGACAATGTGGGAAACAGCTGTTGCTAAAGTGACATCAGTGTTGGAGGAACAGTTTTCCCATATGGATACTGCGAGCCATCTTCTCTTGGTCAAGGATTATGTGACTCTTCTTGGGGCAACACTAAAACAATATGGCTATGAAATGGCCCCAATTCTCGAGATTCTCAGCCATAGCCGGGAAAAGTACCATGAGCTTCTTTTAACAGAGTGTCGACAACAAATCACTGATGTTCTTGCCAATGACACTTGTGAGCACATGGTTATGAAAAAGGAGTCAGACTACCAAACAAATGTCCTGATGTTCCATCTTCAAACCTCAAATATAATGCCAGCTTTCCCCTATATTGCACCATTCTCTTCCATGGTACCTGATTGCTGCCGCATTGTTAGATCATTCATAAAGGACTCAGTCAATTATTTGTCTTACGGGGGCCAAATGAATTTTTTTGATTATGTGAAGAAGTATCTGGACAAGCTCTTGATTGATGTATTGAATGAAGCCATACTTAATATGATTAACAGTGGTATTGCAGGTGTCTCTCAAGCAATGCAGATTGCTGCAAACATAGCTGTTCTTGAAAGAGCTTGTGATTTTTTTCTTCAAAATGCGGCCCAGCTATGCGGGATCCCGATCCGGTCAATTGAAAGACCTCAGGCTAGTTTAAAGTCAAAGGTGGTTCTTAAAACATCAAGAGATGCAGTTTATCTTTCTCTGCTAAATTTGGTGAACTCCAAGTTAGACGAATTTATGGCACTTGCGGAAAATGTGAATTGGACTCCGGATGATACACCGCTGAGTGCACATGAGTACATAAATGATGTGGTTAATTACCTCGACACCATTATGTCCACTGCTCAGCAAACTTTACCTCTGGATGCTTCGTATAAGGTTGGGAGTGGGGCTCTTGAGCATATATCCAATTCTATTGTGGCAGCTTTTCTTAGTGACAGCGTGAAGAGGTTCAATGCTAATGCAGTTGTGGGCGTCAACAATGATCTGAAGGCATTAGAATCTTTTGCAGATGAGAAGTTTCACAGTACTGGATTGAGTGAGATATACAAGGAAGGTAGTTTTCGTGGCTGCTTGATTGAAGTAAGGCAATTGATAAACCTTCTGTTAAGCAGCCAGCCTGAGAACTTCATGAATCCTGTTATAAGGGAGGGAAACTACAGTTCTTTGGACAACAAGAAGGTGGCTACTATCTGTGAGAAGTTCAAGGATTCTCCTGATGGGCTCTTTGGAAGCCTTTCAAGCAGAAGTGCGAAACCAAATGCTCGCAAGAAGTCAATGGACGTCTTAAAAAAAAGATTGAGGGATTTCAACTAAGAGAGGTTGCAGATCTAGCTGGATTAGAAGCAGCTGAACTTTCTTCTTTAATGTTTAGGATAATATATATATATATTATTTTTTTTTTATTTAATGATACTTCTGAATTAATTTCCTAAAGTAAGTTTTTTTAACATTACTTTGTTTCAAATGTTCCAATGTTTTCTCATCAAATTTGTTGCTGTGGCATTTTGAAATTTCCTTGAAACTTTTTCTATAGAAAGTTGGAAATATAAGCTCAATAGCTGCTGGTGGCTATTCAATAGAGTACTTAGAACTCTAGGTACACAGCTGTCACATCGTGTATTTAGTACTATGGTTTCTCTGTAGTCCAATATAATGTAAGCTTGTCTATGTGTATATTTGCATTATTACTTTATCACACTTCTCTGGAAAAAAGGGCTCTTTTTTTGGGATCTTTTATGAGTTGAGTAAGAAAAGGAACCATACAACAATCTACGTTTTTTGGGCTGTTCGAACCTGGTGGTTGTGCATTATTACTTTGTTGCACTGGTGTGATCTGATCTAAAAGAGCAACAATTAGTCTATGGTCCGACCTGTGGTTTTTCTTCTCTTTATAAGTTAGACTTTGGCGGTCGCAACGGAAGGTATTGTTCATCATAAATTACTTAATTCAATGGTTTATTATGTACTGCATGCTGACCGATACTCCACTTTTTCACTATCTCTTTGGTGTACTTGTAGTGTCATATCTATACATTGATGACTCCAAATATGGCATTTAATGTTTGGAGTGCATTCATACACATGAGATCTTAATATTTTTTCATTGATGTTAGGATTCAGGATCAGGATTTAAACTACAAATTTAAGTTATCTGACTTGATTATTGAGTGGTAATATGTGCGTCTTTTGTTGCTCGGTGTTGGTTTTAGATTTGTATGCTATTGGATTGAGACTGAGGATCAGTAGGAACTTTTGACAATTTTAGTTTGGAAAAAAAAAAAGTTTATTTTTAAGTGTCTATGGGTATAATTGGACTAGCACTTTGCACCTTTACGCTTTTGCTTGTTCGTGAAATTCATTTCCCTACAGAATATAATGTGTGTATCGGCTTTTGCTAGTCATTAAACAAACAGTCTTTTTAGAATTATAATCTTTATAGGCTTAGAAGTATAATCAATGAAGTTTTGTTACTGAATTTTCTTGGTTATGTTGAGCTGTTCAACGAAGCTGAGCAACTACTGGACAATAGCAGAAAACGGATTTTGATTAGAGCTTGCGTTTCGAACTATTGATTTCTATGTAACTATGTCTATAGTGAAGATCATTAAACTTTCTGTGGATATGTTTGTCACTAGTTTATTTTAATTTTTGCAGATAAGATAGGGAGCAATGGTTGTTCTGAGGCAACACATGGATCAGAATATCCAGGTATATGGCAACCAAGCCACGACTAATTTTGTTAAATTTTGATTGGAATGCCTTACCCGGAGAGGGATCCTCCATCTAAGTGTCCTCTGTCTCTAATGTACTTCTAACTACACGAGGTAGTGGAAATTTCAAAACACTAGATTGATAACAGAGAATATATATTTTGTATATATCGAATTCATAATATAGAGAAGCTCTGAGTACAAATATATATAACCTAAATGAAATCAAACCCTAATAACATAAAAGACTAAACTACCCTTAGTAACTAATATAAAATACAATAAAATACACAATCTTCACACCCCTTCTCAAACTGAGGATGAGAGTGCAGAAAGTATTGAAAGTTTGCCAAGAAGAAAACGGAAACAATCAACAGTGTGAGTCTTCGTAAAAAAATTGGCCAACTGAAGAGAGGATGGAACAAAAGGGAGAGTAATAGTGGCAGCCCGAAGATGTTGTCTAACAAAGTGACAATCTATTTTAATATGTTTGGTCTGCTCATGGAAGGTTGATATGGACAATTTGGACAGCACTGTGATTATCACAATACAATGGAGTTGGATCAAAAAGAGAGAGACCCATATCAGAAAGAAGCCATCGAAGCCACACTATCTTGGAAATAGCATGAGCCATGGCAAGATACTCAGCCTCAGCAATGGAACGATTAACAATAGACTGTTTCTTATTCTTCTAAGATATGATAGAATCTCCTAGAAAAACACAAAGACCATAAGTGGATTTGCGATCATAGATGTCACCCGCCAAATCAGCATCAGCATAGGTGCAAAGAGTCAAGTCTGAAGAGGCAGACAACAGCAGACATTGCAATAGAGTGCCACAAAGGTAGCACAAAGTACGGAGTAAGGCAGCCCAATTTGTAAAACGAGAAGCAGATTGACTGAGAATGTGCACAGCGTAGGAGATGTCCGGACGAGTAACAGTGAGATAAACAAGACACCCAACCAACTCGCGATATAAAGTAGGATCCTCAAGAGGAATGCCATCATGAGTAGAAAACTTAGCATGCAACTTAATAGGAGTGTCGACAATTTTGTCATCAATGTAATTGGCACGAGAAAGAATATCATGAGCATATTAGTCTAAGAGAGAAGATATCCAGTAGGAGAAGTAGTAATCTCAATGCCAAGAAAATGCCGAAGAGACCCCAAATCCTTCATTTCGAACTCCCGAAACAACCGATGCTTAACCTCTTTGATAGTACTAGAATCAGAGCCGGTGATGATCATATCATCCACATATAAGAGATGGAGAACAAAGCCAATAGAAGTGCGCCGAAGAAAGAGAGCACAATCATGATGACTAGGATGAAAACCAAGCTGAAGTGCAACAAAGTGAAATCGCTCATACCAAACATGAAGAGACTGCTTGAGACCATATAGAGCACAACAAAGAAGACAAACAACATCGGAAGGGTGAGAAAGACCTGGTAGAGGGCGCATATACACTTCTTCAACGAGATGCCCATTTAGAAAAACATTTTTGACATCTAAGCTGAAATAAAGGCCATTGATGGTAGCAGCAACGGAGATAAGAGTGCGAATAGTAGTCATCTTGACAATGGGGGCAAAAGTCTCATCGTAATCAATCCCATACTCCTGAGGAAGACCTAGGGCAACCAAACGAGCTTTGTATCGTTCCAAAGAACCATCAAAGAGGGTTTTGATCTTATATACCCATTTACATCCCACAACATTCTTGCCAGCAGGTAATGGAACCAAATCCCAAGTCTGAGTGTTAGCCAAAGCAGTTAACTCGTCATTTATGGCAGTAATCCAATTTGGATTATGACAGGCCTCCTTGTAGGACCTGGGCTCAAAATAAGTATGAAGACAAAAGAGAAAAGACTGATAGGAAGGGGAGAAACATGTATTACCAAAGCCAAGCCAGTTTGGAGGATGATGGTCACGCTTTGGAAAGCGATGTGCAGGAGGAGTGGGATCTGACGAAACAGTTGGAGGGGCAGTAGAGCTAGAGGCAGGCGAGCTTGGAAGTGCTTTGCGACGCTAATAAACAAGAAGAGGAGCAGGGGAAGCGGGAGCTGGAGAAGGAGCTGGGAAAGTAGGGGAGGGTGTAGCTGGCGAGGTATCAGGAGTGCTAGTAAGAGGCAAGGCAGAGACCTCAAGATCAGAAACAAACTCATCGGGAGAAACTGCAGGGGGAAATGGATCAATATGAACCAATTCATCCCTGGTAATAGGGACAGGGGTGGAATGTATAGTGTAGTAGGGTAGTTTTTCTAAAAAGGTGACATGTCTAGACACACATAGCTTTTTGGTGGCAGGATCATAACACCGATAACCTTTCTAATTAATGCCATACCCTAGAAAGACACATACGACACAATGAAAACTAAGCTTAGAGTGCTCCTGTTTAGGAAGGAGCACAAAGCATATAGAACAAAAAATACGAAGAAGAGAATAATTGGGAGTAACACTTTTTGGGCATCAGGGAACTCATTATTTAAGGGAGTTTCACTTTTTTTGTTAGCTAGAGACTGGGTGGCAGTGTGTGCTATGTAGACGTTTGCCCGTGTTTTGCTTGTTACGGGTTATATTTGTGTTTGTATTCTCATTGTCCTATTGTAAGAGGATGCCTTATCCTCTTTTTCTTTTTTGTTTTATCAATAAAGCTTTTGTTGTAGTGCACAGTTGAAAAAAAAAAAAAAAAAAAAAAATTGGGAGTAACACCAAGAAGACGCTCATTTGGAGATGAGCCTGAGAGAAGAGTAGGCATCCGATTGAGAAGATATGCTGTAGTGAGCACAACTTCTCCCCAAAAGACAGGGGATAAAGGACGAGAGTAGCAAAGAGTGAGCTATATTAAGGAGATGGTGATGTTTGCGCTCAGTGCGACTATTTTGGGCAAGAGTGTCAGAACACAAAGACTGATGAATAGTGCCATGAGTAGCTAAAAATTCCTCAAACGCAAACAAGTAATACTCACTCTCCAAATCAGAATGGAGAACTTTAATGGTGGTGAAAAATTGAGCGCAAATTATGGAGTGAAAATTAGAATATATTTTCTAAAAATCAAATTTTCGTGTCATCAAATAAACCCATGTAAATCGACTGTAATCATTCACAAAAGACACATAATATTGCGAACCATCCTTAGTATAGGGGAAGGACCCCAAACATCAGTATGAACCAATTGAAAAGGAGAAGATGAAATAGAATTACTTTTTTTAAAAGGAAGAGCAGACATTTTAGCCAATTTAAAACGACGACACTCAGAATTATCATCAATGGGAAAATTGCCTAAGTGTCCAGACTGAACTAACATCCTCAAACGGTCATTCGACAGATGACCTAACCTAGAATGTCAAATATAAAATAAAGAGGACTTATTGTTTAAACAAAAAGAAGACAAAGTAGTAGAAGACACGTCTAGAGGAACATGTAAACTACCTAAGATATATCGTTCTCTAACTCTACGCCCGATCCCAATCTATCTCTTGGAGACCCGATCCTGCACAACATAATGAGAGGAAGAGAAACCAACATCAAAACCGGAATCAGGTAATTGACTAATGGAAATAAGACTGAGTGAGAGGTTAGGCACATAAAATACAGGAGAAAGAGACAAATGGAAAGAGGAAATAGAACCAATAGAGGATATAGGCATAGAAGAACCATTAACGGTAGCAATAGTGATAGGAGAAGAGGGGGAGACACAATGACTAAGGGGAGATGCAACAGGGGTCATATGATGTGAACAACCAGAATAAAAAATTCACGAAGTGTGGATATTACCTGAAAAGGATGAACCAGACAAACCTAACTGAGTGGTAGTGATAGCGGAAGCTTGGGATGAAGGATTTGGATTGGCCACCATGAAAGATTTGAACTGCTCAAACATAGACTGCATAGTGAAAGACGGAGCATTCTTAGAACTGGTGCAAAAAATGCGGCAGATGAGTGAGATCCCGAAGATGTCGGCTTAGAGGATGGTGGACTAGATGTACGACCCTTCGGCTGTAGAAGTTTAGGACAAGCATGTTTCCAATGGCCTCTCTGATAACAGAAGTTGCACTCTTCCATGGAAACTCGAGGCTTGGACTTACCAGTAACCTGAAATAAAGGAGATGGTGGGGTGGGCAAGAGCGGATGAGTGGTAAAAACTAACTGGGAGGCTGGAGCACCATGAGCCACCTTGAAGTGAATTTCTTCTGCAATAAGCTCACGGATAGCACCATCAACAGAAGGCAAGGGGGACCGATGAAGAATAACTCTCCGAAGTGGCCCAAATTGATCACGAAGGGCTATAAGAAACTGAACAAGACATTTCTCCCGATACTTGGTATAACTGTCAAGTAACTGCAAATCTGATGGTTCCATTAAAGTAAGCTGATCCCAATAAGTAGTCATCTCATTGTAGAACTCCTGAATAGACTTATCTTTCTGACTAGTACTGTGAATAGACATCTCAAGTTCATATTGTTTTTCAAAGTTAGACTCAAGATACATTGTTTTAAATAGTCCCAAACTTGTTTAGAAGTAGAATACTTGAAAAAATTCATACCAATGGTAGTTTGAACGGAATTATGAAACCAAATAAGAATTTGAGCATTTTCCTTATCCTATTTAGCAACATCAGCTTCAGTTTCTTTTGATTCCATAGGTCTAATAGTCACACCGATAACATAGTTCCACATGCCTTTACCCATTATAAAGTTCTTCATTACATGAGACCAATAAGAGTAATTGGTACCATCCAACTTAGTGGCGATAGCTTACAATTTATCATCAGCCATATTGGTATAATCAAAGACCTCAGTGCCAAAAATAAAACAAAACAGAGTATTACCAGACAAAGAGATGCAAATTGATGCTGAGAGGCTTCAAAGGCTGTGAAAACAGGTGCTGCGAAGGCTTGAGAGAAGCCGCAAACTGAACGAGACCCACGAACAGAGCAGGGCAGAACAGGTTGTTGAAGATGCAAGGGAGAGTCACGAATTGGTTGTCAAAGTCAGAGATAGAGAGAGAAGCCACGAACTGGTTGTCTAAGTCGACCGAAAGACCAATCGAACACAAGGGAACGACCTGCGAACCACCTGCGAATGGGAGAGATGAGACTTACGAACTGCGAAGTCTTCCTATGATTGCTTCAGAACCCTGGGTGTCTAAGGTACTGCTCTGATACCATGATAACGTACTGCTCTGATACCATGATAACAGAGAATATATATTTTGTGTATATCGAATTCATAATACAGAGAAGCTCTGAGTATAAATTGTTAAAAATCATGTATTATTGATTGATATTTCTTGATGTATATATTACAAATGGTGAGTAGCTCATTATATAGGAGAGGGTGAGTGTAGAGAGAGAAGCCACGAACTGGTTGTCTAAGTCGACCGAAAGACCAATCGAACACAAGGGAACGACCTGCGAACCACCTGCGAATGGGAGAGATGAGACTTACGAACTGCGAAGTCTTCCTATGATTGCTTCAGAACCCTGGGTGTCTAAGGTACTGCTCTGATACCATGATAACAGAGAATATATATTTTGTGTATATCGAATTCATAATACAGAGAAGCTCTGAGTATAAATATATATAACCTAAATGAAATAAAACCCTAATAACATAAAAGAATAAACTATCCTTAGTGACTAATATAAAATACAATAAAATACACAATCTTCACAGAGATATGGAGAGAAATTTTGGGGATAGAAGGTACTATGCCTTTTACCCTGAACTGTTTGTTTGGTCTCATTTTCTATCAAGGGCATTTATGGGAGTTCTGTACATTTTACTCTGGGTAATTTCATGTCAAAGCTTTTGTTTTGTTTTGTTTTGTTTTGTTTTGTTTGTGTTGTCCCAAGAGATTGGAGAAGGTACAAGAACCTCATCCTTCAGTGTACTCAAACCTGATTGAGATAATGAAGAAAGAAGCTGGTGAAGGCTATGCTAGAAAGGGGACCAGCTGTTGCAGAGCTTTTGTTTGTCTACCAGGTATCTAATCTTTTAAGACTATGTTCAAGGCTAGCTTACCAAATATTTGTCTTACTAAATAAATGCTATTATTTTTGTTTTGTGTATAACAAAAGAAACTTGGTCTTAAAGAATTTAGTCTTATAATTGGTAGATCATTGTTTTGCTATTATTGTACAGGCCTGAATGAAAACATTTGCAAATTTGTTTTCGTGAATCTCACATTAAATTAATATCTTGTGGTTAAAAATCCAAACTAGATTCCAACATGTCCTTGGTTTAGTCTTTTTCTTATTTAAGCAATGCCTAGGTCAGCTTAGTTCACGCTTTACTTTGATTGTAGGTTGAAACACAGAGAACTAACATACCTTGCTTTTGTTTTGGGCTGCAACAAGGCTAAACCAACCCAAACCAAATTGCATTGCTTTTGGAGGGTTTTATTTGAGTTTGAAAACTATGTGGAATGCTTACCAAACATTTCTAATAATAGGAATGAATGCTACACACCAGAGTTATTTTTCCCCTCGTCTTATGCGTAAGAGTTGTACATGTTTGTTTGACTCTTTGTAGGAATCAAAGAAACATCATTTCTTGACTTTTAAGGTTGTTGCTGAAAGGAATGGGAAGTTTAGGACAAATCTTATGAACGGGAGGTTTATTTTGAATATGATTTTATTTGTAGGTTCAAGTTAGTGTAGACTGCCCCGAACTCTCTCCGCGTAGCCCCCCTTTCGGAGAGGGCGTGAATTGGGTTCTAGCTACTACAATTCGGACTCCTGTTACGGTTATGTATCTAGTCTCACAAAGTGCAATGTAAGACTGATAGATCACCAAAGAGTTCAAATCCGGCAAATCGTTTTGGAAAATCGATTTTAATCAAGAAGTGCCAAATATGGACTGCTTTGCCAGATTACAGAGTCGCCACCTAAATATTTTGTTTTGGGGAATTTAAGAAATCCTGACTCGTGCTTAAGGCCACGTGTCCGTCATCACCAAAGTTGCCTCGGCTCGGGAACTTGGGTACGAGAGGGGAAAGTCCTGAAATGAACACCCCCGCTCGCCCGATCAAAGGATCGCCCGATCAAAGGATCGGCCTCTACTGACATGATATGTTGTTTTTGAAAACACATGTGTTATTATTCCAATTATTACCTAATTTACTATGTGATGCTCGCAAGCATATACAGTATAGACTCAATCACGAGAATTAGAACAAAACAACTTATGTTTGTTTTCGAAAATGGTTTGAAAGTGCTACTCGCAAGTAGGCTAAAGCGCGGATTTGCCACCCTCAAGTGGGCTTAAAACAAGATTTTGCCACTTCGCAAAGTGGGCTTAAAACTCACAATCATCGAGTTGTTCCAATTCAGGCAATCAAGCCTTCATCCACAGACATTCATGCAGTTAAACACTTAAGCAAATAGCCTCATGACAAGCATGCTATCATGACAACACTCGCACTCATGCAAGGATGCTAAAGCGTAAACACTTACAGTGTCCTCCGAGGCAAAACAGAAACTAGTTAGAAATCATGCATGATTTTAGCTATGTTAAGATGCCTAATGCAACACATGCAAGAATGCAACTAAAATAGGCTCGGCTATCTAGAATGGCATATGAATGCAACACTTGATAATATGCTTTGAAACACGTATTCAAGAAAGTGTATTGAAATACGATGCAGTTTGAATAATGCGCCGAGCCCGGTGCATGCAAGACAAATGAATGATACACGCATGCAAAGCATAAGGTATGCTAATCGAAATATGCCTTAATCTAACCACTGAAAGCGGATAAATAAAAGGGAGAAAGACGTGGATTGGAAGACATTCACACATACACGCACACTTATTACAACATTTGCCCTCTCGACGGAGGGTCCGAATGAAAGAGAGCTAACTAGCTACACTAATTAAGCTAACTATTACAAACTAACTAATTAACTAACTATTCTAGCTAATTAATTACAACACAAACCGATTAGCTAAGCACATTAACTAATTAATTACAGAACCAACGAATTAACCATCTAAGCAAAACAGTTAAAAGGCCTCGGGGGCGAGGGATGCATGCATGCTCGATTGGCTTCCTTTCGAGAATCCGTCGCCTTGCCACTGGTTACCTCTGTTTGCATTCGCTTTGATTCCTGAACACTAAACCAATTTACAGGCTGCCTCTGCTCCAGAACCAGAACCAGAACCACTTTGAACCACCTTCAAGCTGGTGGACTGTCGGCCACCAGGGGAAGCTGTAGGCCACTTAAGGTGGCCGGTCAGCCACTTCCTCTGGGCGTTCGGCTACTCCCCCTGGCCGGTCGGCCACTTGCTCCTGCACACTCCAATTTTGCTTAAAACAGAGTACAACATAGGCAAAGCAAGGTATTTGTAAGGTATGTGTGTACAAGGTATGGTCCAAAAACAAACCAAAAAGAAGAGAGCTAAGAGGCCCCAAGACAAGGCACTCCGCCGAAAGCTCCTGAAACTAGCCTACCGGCCACTGCAAGTGGCCTACAAGAGGGAAAAGTAGCCTACAGCTACAAAAAGTGGCCTATAGGCCTCTCTCTCCCTCCAGGCTTAGGCACTAAGGCATGGTCCAAAAGCAAACCAAAAAGAAAAGAGTTAAGAGGCCCCGAGACAAGGCCCTCAGCCGAAACCCTCGGAAACTCATAACGAGCACAAACATGCGCAATCACCGAGTGCACAAACGATGACATCAAAGTCTTGAGGTCGGTCAAAAATGGGGTGTCTACAGTTAGCCAAGACCATACCCAAAAGGTCATCAATTCTAAGTCTCATGATTGAAAAAATAGTTAACTTATTCACTATTTTGCCTTATTTTGAAGAGTGAGAATATAATCCCCTTGGGTGGCTAAAGCATTTGCTAATCTTGAATGCTAGATTACTTGGGCGCTTCTTACGCCATAAAAACGTCTCATTACACCTATTTTTTACCTACCCAACCCCTAATCTCTACCCACCCTTCCCATTACCTGCCACCCATTGATGCCACCCCTTCCCCAACATGCTGTCTCCTTCCCCAGCCCCCTCTCTGTCGCTTCCCCCACCTTCAAGATCTGAAAACCCTAGTGGGGTTGCGTGGTTTGGCCCCACCTCCTCCTCATTCTCCTTCTAGATCTGAAAAACCTGGATAGAGGTGCTGGGGTGTCACGCTAGTGGTGGGGTTGGGTCGTTCTGGGGAAGTGCTAGGTGGTTCAGGGGTGTGTGTGTGTGTAGTTAGGCTTTGAAAAGTTAAGGGTGTAAAAAGAAGAAGAGGTGTTAGGGATGGGGATATATTTGAAATTATAGAGAGCAAGGTTTTGAAAAGCGGTTGCGGTCGCCGTAACGGTGGCGGTGGCGCAGTTGCGGTTGCGGGATGTAAAGGTCGTAGCGTAACGGTTGCGGTAACCGGAACCGTGAATTTTTTTATTTTTCACACAATTTAAAAAAAACTTACCGATACGCATATTTTTTTTCCATGATCATATTTATTGTTTTAAAATAAATATTGATCAATTTTTGTAAATTTTTAAGTATGATCCAATATATTTCATATTTTTAAATCACTATAAACTGAGTTTTTTACATTTCATTTTAATAATTAATGACTTTATATTTTATAAAAAATCAATCACTAACTATTATATATAATATAAACAATGACAAAAGTTAGAGAATAAATAAGAATCTAAATATATATATATACATATTTTAATCAAGCCAAATAGATAACTGTCAACTTATTATTATTATTATTATTATTATTATTATTATTATTATCAAACAATATATAGATAGACACACGCAAATAAAATAGTTGAGTGATAGCAGCTGAATAAAATAGCATAGGTTTTACAGTTTCAACAAATCAATAACATGTTCTTCATCTTTGCTCTTCTCTCTCTCTATCTCTTACTTTTCTATCTTCCCTCTTCTCTCTATCCCTCTTCCTCCATTTTCATCTTTTTTTTTTGTGTTTTTTTGAAAGAAGAGTTCGGAACCGTTATGTAACAGTGCGTAACAGACCATTACGGTTGTTACGGCATTGTTACGACAGCTACGACAGCCGCTACGGCTGACACACCTGTGAATCTCAATCACACTGCAAAAGCAGCCATAACGGGTGGCGGTAACCACCACAACCGTTACGTAACGGCGTTACGTAACGGTTGCAACTGCTTTTTAAAACCTTGATAGAGAGTGTAATGAGATAAAATGAGAAATGAAAATTTTAAAAAAGGGTTTACTTGGAAAGTGGATATAATGAGTAGTTTTTGTCGTGTATATAATTGTTCCATAATTATCCATTTGCAGAGTATGCAATCTGTTGTTCCATGCTGTGGTCAGCGTCTTGTATTTTAGCTAGTTTTTATTTATTTATTTATATTTTAACTCTTGCCTTATTTATTTATTTAATTTAATTTGTTACCACTAGATGTAAACCATTTAGAGTATGTTTTATATATGCAACACTTGTTATTATTTACTGGTTTCCTTATTTGTTCAAATTTTTTAAAATGACAATTAAGTAAATTTTTGTTGCTTCTCTCTTGTATTTATTTCCTCTTTAACATGGATTGCGTTCTACCAAAATCTTGTTTGGATTATGTCCATGTGGGACAGAGGAATGTGAAGAGCCATTATGTTTTTGGGTTTTCTTTTGCTTGCCAATGCAATGGTAAATTGGCTTTGTTCACTAATGGGGTAAAGGAAATCAAATGGGTTGTATGCACATGAGGGGCTTGGGAAAGACTTGCATAACGCCACAGTTAGATTGTGTAGGAGGTTGTACCATCCCTAAAGCTACGTTCAAAGAGGGCATGTCGAACTAAGATGAAAAGTGAAAAGGTTTTGGGCTGCACAAGTCTCTATTTCACTTGGGAAGTGAGAGTTGGCTCACAGTGGTGACCTTTGTATCTCTTCAACCTTCTTATGTATAGTGTATTAGATGTATTGAATGTGAGAGAGTAGTGAGGAAAAACAAATATGTGAGATGTGAGAGAAAAAAAAATAATGTGGGACATTGGGGTGAGCAAGGGCTCAACTCAACTATCTCTGTGCGAAGGATTCAGATAGTGGTGTGGGTTTTGAGTATTTTGGTTATCGTACATGTATTCTCTATTTATTCATTTAATGGAATACCTCTTTCCCGTGGGCATGGGCATTTTTGTTGATCCACATTACCGTTGGCACATGGGTTTATTTTTCAATGAGTGTCAGTTTGGTGGGTTTATTTTCCTAGCAAGTGGTATAGAGTCAATAGTTGGTGATGATTGGTGATCCTGACGCATGTTGGCAGCGTCATGCTAGGCCAACGGTCATAGGTGTATCGGGTCAAGTGTCATGAAAGTGGATCATGGCTGAGGGTGATGGTACCGAGGCAACACATGCACCCAAAAAAAAAAAAAAAAAAGAATAAAAACGGCACAGGGAGAGCATGTTGGGTATGTGCAAGTGTCAAACAAGGGCACAAGCTTATGGAATGCAAGGTATGTGTTCAATTATACTCACCAAATGAATGTGTAAATAGTGCAGGCATTCTGTGTTTATGGGATGTGGCCATCAAACTGAGGGGGTGTCGGGCACCCAGATAGGGGAGTGCAAAGGAATGTGAATATCCATTATTGTTTTGGGTTTTCTTTTGCTTGCCAATGCAATGATAAATTGGCTTTGTTCATTAATGGGCTAATTTGAGGGGCTAGGAAAGTCTTTGATAATGCCAAAGCTTGATTATCTAGAAGGTTGTGCCATCCCTAAAGCTACTAGCAGAGAGTGCACATTGAACTAAGAAGAAAAATGAATAGGTATTAGGCTGCACAAGTCTCTATTTCACTTGGGAAGTGGCAGTTGGCTTGGGAAGTGTAATGTGGTGACCTTTTGTATCACTTCAGCCTCCTCATGTATATATCTGGGTGTATGAGATGTGTTGATTGTGAGAGAGAGCAGTGAGGAAAAATAGAGATACAAGGTGTGAGAAAAAGAAAATACTATGGGACAAGATACTATGGGACAATGGGGTGAGCAAGAGCTCAACTACCTTTGAGCATGGGGTTTGGCTAGTGGTTGTAGGTTTTGAGTCTTTGGCCATCTTACATGTTTTTTTCTATTTTATTCATATAGTGGAATATTTCTCTCCTGTGGACGTAAATTGTTTCTCTCAACCACGTTACCATTGGCACATGGGTTTATTTTTCAACAGGGGGGATCAGAATTTTGGTGGGTTTATTTTCCCAACAAATCTTAGTTGTTTCCTTTCAATCTAGTTTAAATCTTTCTTAAATTCTGAAAAAAACAATCAGTGTTGAAAAGATTTTGAACCATCTTTGTATCTTGTTACTAACGACGACTTTTATCCATCTTCCGTTACTGACTTAATTATCTAGTTGAAGTGTTTTCTTATTATGTGTGCCATGAAGAGATGCTAATGGTTAATGCTTTACTCTGATTCGAGAGAGCATGACCAGATTGTCACTGCTTGTTTTGGCTATTTGGATATCTTTAAATGCTGAAATAGTTTGTTGTGGTTGATGTTGGTCATGAAGCATCAGATGGGGAAAGCTCTTGCAAATAGTGGCAAATGAAGGTGTGGACCTCAAAAGTAAGTCTATTGCAAAATTTGTCAGAAAATTTGTTAACGGTACCCAACTGCTGGAGCATGTTTAGTGATGTAATTACATGCACATACACCACACACCTACACACTCAACACTCAGACACACAATGTTATCCCTCTCTAAACACAAATTCAATTATTGATTTTTGGTGTTGTCCATGAATCATGACGTGTTTAAACTTTTGAAGAAAAAGTTGGACTCTGGAATTATTTATCATACATGCCCACAGTGGTTAGTTTCCTCCGTTACCTAGTGATCTTACTTATTTTAGCAACTTTTATGGCTTTGTTTGGTAATGGCTATGTTTATTTTTTTGTTTATATTACAATTTTTTTTTTGAAAATTGTAAACAAAAACTAGTTTGTTGTCTATTTTGTTTTAAAAACTTGTGATTAGTATATAAAATTTACTAAATTCTTGTAACCATAAAAGTCAGTTTCACTTGTTTAGAAAAAAAAGTTCTTATTCCTTACTCCTTGTCCCACCCCCACATCACCCACTGCTGGCCACCACATCTAGCCACACCCACCTCCAGCTGCCATCACCCATGACCTGTGTCAAGAAACCACCTTCAGTCACCATCTTTTGCCGCTGCCAATCACCTCTGGACAGTAGCCACCACCATTTCCTAGAAACCACAATCGGCCACCACCTCTGCAGGCTGATAACCTCCTTCGGGCACCATCTCTGATGGTCGACAACAAAATAAACATGTTTCAAATTTTCTGTAAATAAAAAACAGTAAACTACAAAAGTTACCAAACAATGCTTAATTCCTTGACTTCAAGTTTATAAAATTCAAGTTCTAGCTGAAAAATAGGATTTCAGTAGAATTTTCAATGCTGGCATACCTTTGTCACCATAGGTTTTACTTGTTCAACTTCTTTAGCTTGTCATTTCTTGTCAGTTGATTGGGTGGAGTTTAATTGTTTGTCCTTGGGGAAATTGTTATTTTCTCACCGTGACAGTTGCTGGTGAACTTAAAAATCTTTGTTCTTATTAGTATGAATTTTCTTAATAAATTTTTTAATGTTCAGAGGAACAAGATCTTTGTCCTACCTTCCTGTAGCTGTGTGTTCAAGCTGGTTATCTGTTACCCTAATTCAGTTTGAATGTGTAGGTGATCTTTTTTTGTGACATTTCTGTTGACATGATTTATATACGTACAGAACTCCTGAACTATTTTTCCTTGTGGAATGGTGTTTGTTGTGGTTTCTTGTATCTTTAGGTGGTTTGTGTTGCTATAAAACAAATAAATGTATATACATATATGTTGGTTTTTATTATCATCTGTGAGTCGAAAGAGAAAAAACCAAAGAATCTGTGTATGTTTTTTCTGACAAGGATGATCTTTGCAAGGGTAGAGTAAAGTAAACAGCTGATTGAGGGAATGCATTATAGTTTGCCTTGTTCGTTTTATATATATATATATATATATTCTATATTACTGCTGTTGTTACGTGCAGAAGGCATCTAAACCAGCAGCGATGTATGTTCTCTCTCAATTACTTCTTAAGCTTTTTTGTTTCCTTAATTACTGGCAGTTTGCAACCATCAATATTAGAGTGCTATGGTTACATACCTTGGGTGCATTTTTCAGTGATCTGTGGAATACTTTCAGATTGGTGTTGTATTTAGGGCTGAACGGCTTGGCACTGGAACAGGTTTCATTTGCACTTTGAGTTTGAAACTTGGTAAGCCAATCCAATTGCTCGTTCATATTTGTGCTAGTTAAACCTCCTATTTTTCCAAAATTCTTCATTTTGACAAAAGTAGCATCCTGAAACTTTCCAGGGACCCAAACATTTGGGGCCAATTCAGACAATGGCCTTGGTGCCATGCTTGTCTGCTAGGTTCCCCTCATTGTGCTAGGAGCATAAACTGAGGGCCTGTTTGTCTTTAAAGATAGGTTTTAAAGATAGGTTGGGTGAAATTATTAGTGAGTTGATTAAGAAAAATTGTGTTTGTTTGATGATCACCGGACTAGCAAAAATTCATGTTATTTTGTCATTTTATGATGTGATTAATTATATGAAATTTTATAAATATCCTTGGTATATTTGATGCATTTTAATATTAAAAATTATATTTTGGTAATATATTATTTTATGTTGATATATATATATTTTTTTGGTATAAATACATTATTATACTATTTTATTTTAATATTAAAAATTATTTTTATATTAAACTAATATTTATAAAATGAGAGGCAAAATAGTAGTTCTACCTCTAATCTCCTGAGATTCGATATCAATACCACCTCTCATGAGATTGTTAGTTCTCTCCTTGAAGGGCTTTTATACTCTCATGGGACTCTTATCCCATGGCCACTTTTAAAACACATGTGCTCCGTTTGGTTTAATTTTAGAATTATGATGAGTGTGAAGTTGTAATTTAAGTGTGAAATTGTGAGTTAAGTTTTGAAAAGAAAAAATTTGTTTCGTTATGAGTTTTGAAAAGAGTTTAAATTTTGAATTTTGAAAAGAGTTGAGTTTTGAAAAAAGATGAGCTGTATTTTGAATTTTGAGTTTTTGAATTTTGAGTTATATTTTGAAATTTTTTGAATTTATTTTTTAAAAATATTAAAAAAAAATTTAGAAAATTTGATTTTTTTATTTTAAATATCTTATTTTATTTTGTAAATATTTTGATATTTTTAATTTTAATATTTTAAACTCAAAGCACAACTTTACACTCAAATCGTAACCAAACACATAATTCAAAACTTTATTCAAAAATTATATTTAAGACTCATAACTAAACACATAACACGAAACTTCACAATACTTTTAATATTTTATACTAGAATAAAAATAAATTTCTTTAACTTTTTTAATATTTAAAAAATATATTTAAAATATTTTTAAAAAAACAGTACACAAATGTATGAAATATAGTACATATTAAAATAAATAAATAAAATTTTAAAATATAAAATATTTTCCCTAAAAAATAAAATTAAGAAAATTTTTAAATATTTTTCTTAAAGAAAATCTCCAAAAAATTTCAAAATACTACTCAAAATTCAAAATACAACTTAAAATTCTTTTTAAAATTCATAACTAAACAAATTTTATCTTTTCAAAACTTAACTCAGAACTCATAACTTAAAACATGATATCACATTCAAATTATAATTTTAAAGATAATTTAAAAAGTATATATATATTTTTGAATTTTTTATTTTGTTTTTTAAAATAGACTTTGAAAAAAGTTTGTTTTTGAGTTTTGAAGAAAATTTGGAATTGAGTTTTGAGTTGTGTGTTTAGTTATGAGTTTTGAAAATAATTCTTGAATTGAGTTGTGAGTTTGGAGAAAACTTGTTTAATTATGAGTTTTGAAAAAAAATTTAATTTTTTTTTATTAAAATCACAATTTTAAAACAAAACCAAATGCCACCATAATTTTTTGAATCCCACTATCTTACTACTCCAATTCCACCCTCCAACTCTATAAACAAATCTAACTATCTTGCTTGTTTGGGGGAATTGAGTTTTGAATTGTGTATTTAGTTATGAGTTTTGAAAATAGTTTTTAAATTCAGTTTTGAATTTGGAAAAAACTTATTTAGTTATGAGTTTTGAAAATTATTTTTAATTATTTTTAATTAAAATCACAATTTTAAAACAAAACCAAATGTCACCATAATTTTTTGAATCCCACTACCTTATTTGTTCAACACCACTCTCCAACCTATAAACAAATCTAACTATCTTGCTTGTGTTTTGGGTGTGGGAGATGCTAGTCCAATTCCACTCTCCAACTCTATAAACAAATCTTGCTGTTGGTTTGGTGGTGGGTCTTGTTGGGGGGTGGGTGGGAGATGTTTTGGGTGTGGGAGATGCTAGTCCAATTCCACTCTCCCACTCTATAAACAAACCTATCTTGCTGCTTGTTTGGTGGTGGGTGTTGGGAGATGCTAAGTCCAATTCCCACTCTCCCCACTCTATAACAAATCTATCTTGCTGCAGTTTGTTGGTGGTTCTGTTGTTTGGGGGCGGGGTGTTGGTTGTAACATGTCCAATTCCACATCTCCTAGTTCTACTACTAACATAAATCTATCTTGCTGCTTGTTTGGTTCTGGTGGATCTGGGTTGATTTGGGGGAGGGTTACGAGTTTAAGGGTTGTTTGGTAGGTGATCCTAAATAAGTGCAATAATTGTTTGTCTTTTTTGCAACTAAAAACATTGCAGGAAGAAAAATATAGATATTTGTGCTTAGGTTATTTTGACTAATTTATGAAAATACTTGTAATAAAAAAATTGTGAAAAATGTGGAGTATATTGTAGGAAAAAATTTGGATTGAGAGTGTGTATGAGTCGTTAAATTGTTGAACTTTTGGTGAATAGTGTTCTACTTTTTGAAGTAAAACATTTTACGTATTTTATAAGACTCTTCAGTAAACATGTCAAACCTTGGCCCTAAACTATCCAATTTCGACACTCTACCACTCATAAACAAATCTTATTCTTGAGCTTGACTTGTTATGGTGGTGGGTCTTGTTTTTTTTGGGGGGGGGGGGGGAGGGGGGGGGTGTGGGTGTTTGTGTTTGCAGTGAAAAGAAGAGAAAAAAAGAAACATGTGGGATGATCTCCAGCCCCCAACACACACAAACACTGAAGTGGCGAGTAATATTTGGCTCTGTTCGGTAAAACCTTGAACTTTAATTTCACCCATGGATTTGCAGGTGATATTTGTTTATAGTTTTTAAAAGGGCAAATTACATATCCCTCTCGAGATTTAGTAAAATTACAGATACTCTTTTGAAGTTTGAAAAATTACGGATATCTCCCTGAAGGTACTATTTGCATAACAAATTAGGGGGCAAATTGTTATGAAAATATAAATTTTATGGGATAATTTGTTATGAAAATATAAATCTCAGGGGGTATCTGTAATTTCTAAAACCTCAGGGGGTGTCTGTAATTTAGCTAAATCTCGAGGGAGGTATATGTAATTTGCCCTTTTTAAAAATTAATTCTATACTCACTTTTCAAAATGTCTACCCGGTCGTCTGGCCAGTTAACCGGAGTAGTATTCATGTTTTTTTTTTTTTTTTTTGATACCTGTTATTTTTATATTTTAAATAAAAAATATTTTAGAATTTTTTTTTAAAATTTTTTTAAGAGTTTTGAATAGAATTTTGAATTGTGTGTTTAGTTATGAGTTATAAATTTTTAAATCAAATATCATATGTCACATCACTCAATTCAAATTTAATTCAAAATTCATAACTAAACAAATGTTTCATACTCAAATCATAATTTTAAAACTCACAAATTTAAAATATAACTCTATTATCACATCATAATTCTAAAGTTCTACCAAATGCAACCTTATTATTTTCTCTTGTTTTTGAGTAAAAATGGGATGTAAATATTAATCTTTATCTCTCACAAATTTTTGGAATTAGTTACATTATGTTAGGGTGGGATAAAAAATGGATATGAGAAATGATGATAGTTGGATGGATAAATTATCTTTATTCACACATTTAATTCCCATTTAAGGGATAAACAATTCAATCATGAGACAAAGATATAAGGTTATGTTTGTTTAGGAGGAAATGCCCTTAGGATTGGGATTTAATAATTCAGGGATAAATTACAAATACACCTCCGAGATTTGATTAAAATATGAATCGCCCCTTATGATTTTGGTAATTACATTCCACCCTTTGAGGTTTTTATTTTTATAACAAATTGTCTCTTTTATTAATAAATCAAGTCAATTAATTATTTTTAATGATGTTAGAATTATATTTCAATTAATAATTTAGATAATTTTGTTATTATATAGGAGAGTAATTATGAATTTTATTTTTTTAGTTAATTCTATTAAATAAAAAAAATACTAACCATGAGGTATTTGTAATTTTTTAAACTACAATGAACAATTTGTATTTTAATTAAAGTTCAAGAGTGTATTTGTAATTTACTCATAATTCAGCAAAATATATGATGATATCATTAAATAATGGGCTTATGGTTTGGGTAAGACTGACGGTTGGGTTGGACTAAAATGAAAGGATTTGGGCTTTGTCCTCTAGGTGACTTCCAAGTAAATTTTTGAGAAATTATCGGTGGGTGTCATTCTGAAAGGCATTTGCATTTCAACGATCAAGTTAGATATGTTTTGAGAAAAAGATATTAAGAGAGTAAAAATGTATAGGATACCTCAAAATTATGCCCAAAATAAGTATTATTATGCTGTGTTTGGTTGGAGGATTTAGAGAGGTATTTGGAAATGAAAATGAAAAAGGTAAGTGAATTGTAAATAAAACATGTCTATATTTTACCTAGTTTCACATATCTTTTTCTTTTTCCTTTCAAATTTCCCAACAAAACACAGTATTAACCTCACAACAGAGGCTGCTGTGCATGCAGCCACCCCGGTTCCTCATAATATTTTAATACAAGCATTTATTTTAATACAAGAAAAGAAGATCCATACATAACTTATCATAATATTTTAACAAAAATACTAGAGGCCCCAAAAATTCTATCAAAAGTTTTATCAAATGTCTCACATGGGTGTGAGACCCACATGGGACCCACATTGTGTGTGTCCTACACCCATGTGAGACATTTGATAAAACTTTTAGTAGAATATTTGGGGTCTCTAACATTACTCATATTTTAATCCAACAAAAGATGAAAGATCCAAATACGCAAATACAAAGCCGCCCGGCAGGATCCCTTGGTCCATCATGTATATGAGGCGTGCATCCACGTAAGATGGAAGGTTTTAGACAACACTCAGGGAAAGTTGAGAAGATACAATACAAGCATTTATTTCCAAAGTTGGAGGGGAATCAAAGCAATTGTTTGGTTGGCTGGAATAAAGTGAAATGAAATGATTATTTTATTAAAATATTTATTTTTATGTTTGATTGGATTAAAAAAATAATCATAAATGCATTATAAATAGAATATCTTTCACAATTTTAATGAGATGGTTATTTTATATGAAAGTTAAAAGAATTATTG